ATGCTTTACTTATTTGGGGCCTCTTCCCTTTCCGTATGAAGTTGGTGATTTGTTTCTCCATCTCATTAAAAAATGCCAGTGGAATCTGGATCGGGATTGCATTGTATCTGTAGATTGCTTTGGGTAGAACTGACATTTTCACAATGTTGAGTCTACCTATCCATGAGCAAGGTTATGTTTTTCCACCTATGCAGGTTTCTTTTGGTTTCTTGCAGTAGTGTCTTGTAGTTTTCATCGTATAGGTCTTTTACGTGCAAAAGACCTCTTTAAAGTGTTAAAAAGCAAAGATGTTACTTTGAGGACTAAGGTTCGCCTGACTCAAGCCATGGTATTTTCAATTGCCTCATATGCATGTGAAAGCTGGACAATGAATAAGGAAAACAGAAAAAGAATTCATGCCTTTGAATTACAGTGTTGGCGAAGAATATTGAATATACCATGGACTGCCAGAAGAATGAACAAATTTGTCTTGGAAGACGCACAGCTGGAATGCTCCTTGAAGCAAGGATGGCAAGACTTCATCTCAAGTACTTTGGACATGTTACCAGGAGAGACCAGTCCCTGGAGAAGGACATCAAGCTTGGTAAAGTAGAGGGTCAGTGAATAAGCAGGTCAGTGGAGGGTCAATGAGATGGATTGACACAGTGGCTGTTAACAACGGACTCAAATATAAGAATGATTGTGAGGATGGTGCAAGAATGGGCAGTGTTCCATTCTCTTGTACATAGGATCAATAGGAGTCAGAACTGACTCAACAGCACCTAACAACAGCAAGCTGTGTTCCTGCCTCCAGGGGTTCCTCGGGCTACAGCCCAGACATGGTAACCCACAAAACAGCAAACAATTTCTGTTCTCACCACTGTCTTGGGGAAGAGCTCAGACTCTAGCCACATATCTGATGAGGACGGCACCTGCATAAAAAATGTTGGGACCCAGTCATCCCATGACTGCCTTAGGGCTTGTTCACTCCTTAAATGCTTTTCACCACCTGGAGCAGTAAGCCAGATTGTGCCATCCCCTTTAAGCTCTCTGGACAAGGAAGACTATCAAAGAATTGACTGATCCCTGTTGTGGCTATAATCAAATTTCCTCTAAGAATTTAAATTAGGATGTAAAAGCCAACCTCCATATCTTTTTTTTTTTCCTATTGATATTTTCACTGTAGCACTGAAAACAAGATGAGAGTCATCTTTATGTGTGATCCAATTAACACACACAGACATACATACACACACAGCTCCTATATAACTTTATACAGCTAGGAGGAAACAGGTACCTCTAATGGGCCCAAGTCATTTCTGGCTCTACTACACATCTTTTTTCTAAATGATAGTAACTACTGCTTAAGTTACAGACAAACTTTCATGCACTGTTTGTATCTAGGAACAAACACTTACATCTGGTGAAACAGCTACCATTCTTACACTATGAAGTGAAACTATGAAATGATACACAACTTGAATTGAATTCCAACAATACCACAAAATGAGACAGTTTTTAATGAGCCTTTTTTAGAATTAACAAATTAAGACTGTCCAATAATCTAACCTGCCAGAGTAAGATTATACTTTTTTTTCAATAGCTATTCAAAGCAATCTATTGACAACTCATATGTATCTGTGAAAAATTAGCAAAAAATTCCAGTGCAGTAGAATGGGGATGGGAAGAGACAGGTGGCTGGTGGGGAAAGTGACAGAACCCTGTGAGGGACACTCACCAGCTACAGCGCCAGCCAAGAGCAGGCTTCCCGGGCTAATCTGCCCATCTTCATTTGCAAGGGAAGCCTTCACATGAGCATAGCATGGGAAGTAGATGGCCGAGAAAGGAATGTCCCGCAGAAAGCATGCTTTGGCACCCTGTGAGTTGGAAAAGGAAGGAAAACCACATGAAACACATATCCCATTGAGAAGATCAAGCTTCGCTGGAACTTACCTCAGAACAAAATATTCCTAAAGAAGAACGAATTTGTACTCACAAGTTGAAAGGTGAACAGAAAAAATTACCTGAATTCTGCAAGCAATAAATCTAAACTTTATTAAAAAAGAAAAAAGTAGTTTTGTTGTATGGCATGAGAAAGGAGGGGGGGGGTTCCAATTTATTTTAATGGTGAGACTTCTATTAAAACATCTTTGTAGCGCTGCCTTTGTAAACCCCTGTGGTGGCAAATCACTGGCATTTCAAGGAGGATCAGCACTCTGGTCTCAGCTGAAGATGGGCAGCAAAAACCAAGATACTTCTTTGTTTACACACAAGGACGTAGACAAATTTTATATATGATGGGGGGAGGCTGTTTTTTTTTTTGAGAATCTGATGAAAGCTTTGAACTCTTCCCCAGAAAAAATTATGCATACTTAAAAAATTATATAACTTTTCAGGAGATTCATGGGATCCCCCTAGAGTTTATTCACATACTGCTCCCCACTCGTGGGCTTATGATACATTAATAAATGCTTGTTCTAAAGCCTTAAAATATTTACAATAATTCTGACACATTTAAGAGCTGTGTATAGAACAATTAGCTCCTAAAGCAAATAATGTCTGGTGCCAAAATAATGCCACAGGAATGCCCTGAGAATTGATGACAGTACCTAGAAATATGATATAACATTATGATGAAAACCTTAAAACATATATTATGTTTTGAGTAAGCTGAATGGGAAGGAAGTCACATCTCTTTTCAGCACCTAATGATTTAATACCAATTCTTTCACAGGTTTCTAATACCTAAAGAATTTCCACTGAATCAAAAGATTCCTAAAAGAAAATGAGTCCATCCAAATTCAACAGAATCTAGCCAAGCCCAGTGACATTTATAAAGGTCTAGTGATGTTGAGGAGACATGGTGGCATAGTGGTTAAGAATTCAGCTGCTAACCAAAAGATCAGCTGTTCCAATCCCCCAGCCACTCCCTGGAAACCCTATGGGACAGTTCTACCCTGTCCTATAGGGTTGCTATGAGTCAGAATCGACTTGATGGCAATGAGTTTTGTTTTTTGTTTTTTTTTAGTGATGTTGAATCTTGGTATTTTTGTCTGACGCTAGGCTCCAATCTGTCAAAGTTCATTAACACTAAACAACTATTATTGTACCCTTTGCTTTTCTGATACCTGCATCACGCTCTTGATCAAACTGAACTTGTAAGTAATAGAACCCTTCATCTTAGTCTTTTTCAAAGGAATCCCAGGTCTATTGTAAATGAGTTGCCTTAAAAAAAGTAACATAAGCAGGACTTCATGTTTAATTCTATTAACTTTAATCCTAGTTTGGCCCATCCATCCTTCCAACCAGAACAAATGTTTGGAATCTGGATTATCATGTTGGCTATTCCTCAGTCAACCACCTATGGATGTGTCAGGCAACAAGCATGCTCTGTGAGGGACATCAATCCCTACCCCTCTTCACTCTGAGAACATGTATTCAAAAAAAGGCAGATCCATCTCATGTACTGCCAATCAGCCCATGCTTCTGTATCTTGTCTGCACAAAAATGCTCCCATTCCCCATTAAATGTCTTACTGAAAGTAAGAACCACAAAATCTATTACAGCCAAATTTCTCACTTAATATGTATGACAACTGATATCTAGGGCATCTAATCTACCAACTGTACATTTGTTCAGGGGACAACTTCACAGGCACTGCCAGAGACAGGTCCAAAACTCAGAACACTTGAGCTCTTCCAGCTTCCCCAGGGCAAGGGGGAAAAAGTACTGTATAATGTCAATACTCATGTATAGCGTCAGATCCTCTTCTTACGATTCTTCTTTCTTTTTTTTAAATTACTATTCAGGCAATTACTGTGTAAGGCTAATACTATAACACTTTTGTTTCTCTATTTTCTCTTGTTTTTCCCTATCTTGCTTCCAGACTTTCCTGTAAGTTCTGCTAGCTATTTGTACAGATGTACATTCTGTACAGAAGATGCTCAAAGTAGATACCAAACAACCACCTCAAATTAAGATCAGTTAAATCTTCTTCAGGTCTGGCTCCTTGATACAGTAAAAAACAAAGCCATATTACTGACTTTCTAAACAAATCACCTTGGAGTAAATGTTGTTAGTATAATTTTTCTTCCCACAAATTTGGTTTCTTACTAAAACTATTATTATTATTTTTTTACCTTTAACTACATCTCCCAAATCTTTACATCTTAAAGTCAAACTTCAGTCTATGCTCTGCTCATTCATTTTGAAAGTAACATTTCCCTTTAAAATGTTTTTTTTTATTTTTCCTTTCTGATTATAAAAGTATTAAATGCTTAGCAGCTCTATGCTGCCCACTTGGAGTTGCCATGAATTGGACTCGACTTGAGGGCCACTAACAACAATAACAATAATAAAAGCATGAAATGCTCATCATAGAAAATACAGAACAGTACTGAAAATTTAAATTGCTCATGATTTTCACCAGTCAGAGATAAACACCACAACTAACATAAATGTTTTGAAGTACTTCCTTCAACAGTAATATTAACAACTATGCTTGTGTGGTTCTGGGTCATGCCTTTTCTTCTCCTTAAATTCATGGTGTATTTCTTCTCTTTTGCCAGATTTGATCTAACATCTCTTTCATTCCTCAGCTGTAGCCATATTACCTAAATTTCCTTTCTATTTGTTGTTTCAAAAACTCTACCACTATCTTTGGTCTTGGTTGTCCGGTGGATTTGGCACCATATTCTCACCCTTGTCAAAGTTTTATTGGTCCTCTGTATCTGCAGGTTCCACAACTGTGGATTCAACCAACCACGGATCAAAAATATTTGGGAAAAAAAGAAAAAGAAAGTTCCAAAAGATAAAACTTGAATTTGCCTAGAGCCAAGTTCTACATTGAATCCATGTAAATGAAATGATGTGTAGGCATACCCTGCTGTAGCCTCCTCAGTCTCTCTCCAGCACTCATTGTTTGAGCTTGCAAAGACTGAGAAAGCATTAAGTGTAAGCATTAATAACCATTTACATAGCATTTACATTGTTAGGTATTATAAATAATCTAGAGATGATTTATAGTATACGGGGAGGATGTGCCTACATTATATGCAGATACTATGCCCTTTTATATAAGGGACTTGAGCATCTGCAGATTTTGGTATTTGTGGAGGTTCTGGAACCAATTCCCCATGGATACCAAGGGACAACTGTAGTAACTTCACTTGCCCAGTTTCCTCTCCCTTGTCAACCTGATTCCTTTTGGGAAGAGCTACTTAATGCCCCATTCATCTAATCAATCATATCAGCCTCTTAAATATCAACTCTTCATTTAAACCCCATGTACTACCTTTTCCACTGAGGCTCCTTTAGCTTGAAGACCAACAGGGAGTAAATTCCACACAACTCACACTGTCTACACTTTCGTAAATGCTGGTCAAGCTTTCTTCATGCCCTTATATTTGCCTATGTCAGTGCTGCCTATTTCAGGTAATAAGCTACCAGGGGACAGGAACTACTGTCTGATGAAACATATATAACACTTTTCAAAATATTTGGCTCACAGTTGGGACCTAAGAAATGTTCCCAATGACACTGATTTTGCTCTGCTGTAAGTCCCATAAGAAGACCACAACTAAAAAGAGAAATGAGAGGCTTTGGGATATACTGTAAGGTTTCTGCAAAAAACAAACCAAAAAATGAACTCATTTCTTGGAAAAATATATTAGAAACCAAAATCAAGCATTTAGTTTTTCAATCAAAGACATATCATTAATTGAGGATACATCAAAGTCCAGGAGGAAACAGTCAGTAATTTTGTACTGGAATATTTAAGTTAAAAGAAAAGAGAAAGACTAGCGAATCTTCTGCTACATGGCTTCAATATGATAACAAGGCCAAGAGAAGCCAAGATTTAAAATGAAAAATATCCCTATGACACAAGAAGAATGAGATACCATGAAGCAGCAGCTTAGTGTTCCCAAGAAGGAACCTTTGAATGTTCCACCATCAGAGCCTCTTCCTCACTTCCTGAAATCATGACAATAAATCATGTATCAGTGTGGAAACAAGTGCTTAGGAATAGGTCTGACATGCTTCAAGACAAGTTTGAAAACAGCTCTAGGTGACTAAGAAGAAAAATGGAGTTGATCAAAAAACAGACAAACACAACAAACCAACCCAAGACAAAGGCTGAGCTGTTCTGTGAAGACCTAAAGGAAAGTTAGGACTATTTTGTATTTTTCCTACCAGGAATTGGACAATGTGGCCAAATAATCTCTGCCAACTAAAGCAAATGTTAGAATGTGTAAGCAATCTTAGATTTCCGATTATTTGAGAAAAAAGAAGAAAAGGAAAGTCAAGAAAGAAAGAGAACTTGTGGAACAGCCACCCTCCACAGAGATAGGACAACCTTGCAAACAAATTAAAACATTAAGAAACGCAAATCTCCGTTGACCGTGGTATCAAGAACACCTGGTGCAACCCTCCCCTCTGCCCCTGATGAGCACTGGGAGGAATCAGAGCCTTCCTCACCTGTAAAAACTACCAAGGGCCCCTTCTTCCCAGGAACTGTGAGTTAACGATTAAATGAAGTAATAACTGTGAAACTCCTGTATAAAGTGGCTACTGCAGTACATATGTAAGGGGAGGTTGTGGTGAGTGTCTCCCAGCCTCTCTCTGCCCCTGCCTGGTTACACAGCCCAGTGCCTGCTCAGCATCTCCCTGCAGCAAATAACCCTGGAGTCAGGAGGTGGGCTATCTCCAGCCTCACAACCCAGGCATCAAAGCCAAACTCCCAGGGAAAGCTACCTTTGCAGAAGGTTGGAGAAAAAGGCACAGACTTATTAAATTTCTCTGGCCTCATTCTCCCCACCACTTCCTTTAGGTCTCAGGCACAAAGGCAGGTGCCAATTTGTAAGCCTGCCTTAGGCAA